GAACCTAGTTGCGTCCATAAAAATCTACAATTTTGCCTTGCCAAAACAAAAAAGGTCTTGCTTCAAAATGGGAAATATTTTTTGGTCACATAACCATTATTGAACGAAGATTATTACTCTGCTGACACAATTGACCAAAGCCAAAACTATAAATATGTTTTTTTATAGCTGTGGTGTGTGCTCCAAGTTTACTTTTACACAGCTCATCTCTCAGACCGGAATAAAATTGATGGGGAAGGCTACCGCCGTCAGCACACGCTAAAAACATATGGACTAGTGCATATGATGGGAAATCATTTCTACTACCAGACGTACCTACACCAATCCTATAACCAGTATGGGTATGGCCCCAATCCTATAACCAGATGGGTATGGCCGAGCAGGTATTAAGCTTGCCGTTTTATATCGGGTGACCCCAATATGGTACTGAACCAGGCTAAATATATCTCCTGATTCCAGTGCGAACTTCAGTTCCGTTTTCTTAGCTTCCCTTACCATGGCGAGAAACCGGTGGCCGTACACAATCTCTGGCGAAACACAAATAATGTTGTTGTTGTTTTTTTTTTTGGTTGCAAAAGATTAAACTCAACTTCAACTGAGGGCTTGTCAAAAACATTTATCCATCTGTACCTAATCTGATATCAGCACAGCAGCTGAACAATGTCAATTTTGTACCCGTGCAATTAATGTAAGCATGATCATACTAGACACCTATCCTAACATCTCCGTGCAGTTCTATAGATACATCGAGGATCATATTTTCAAGATGATGAAATTCTTCTCTCCTTAAGCTTTTTTGATGGTGACGATGAAGCGATGATGGATCGCTGGCGCCCAACCTGAGGCTCACCTTCGTAGGATGATGTTCGGCGTTGCTCACTTGTATTAGCTGCTGTGGACCTCCAGAAATACCATAAGCAAATAAGAGCCATCACACTGAACAATGTAACAGCTATCCATATGCCCTTGCTATTGCTAGTGTCATCTACGTGAACCACTTCACTGTCCGCAGAGATGTCCACAGAAGAAATGTTTGTCTTTGTACACTCTGCTTAGAAAAAGATTAAAAAAAAAGCTATTAGTAGGCACAAATTATTATTACACCCTCTATCCTGAATATAAGGCGCGATTAGACTTGGTAACGCCACCTATATATAATTTCTCTTATAATATATACTTTATAGGAACAAAAGTTTGATCATTACAAAACATTTCTAAATTCAAGGATCTAATGTAACTACTTTTGTAATACAAACTTTTGATATAATTAGGCTAATTATTAGTCAAAGATAACAAAGTTTTAATTTTGAAATACATGCATGCCTTCAGGGACCAATGGAGTAACTGAGATAGCAAGTATTTTGAGCTTCAAGGAACAACAAATAAGCATGTACCTGCTGAGCAGTCCTCCATATGAAATGTTGACCATTTGGAGATGATATGTCTATCCTTTCCATTGCACAGAATATATGTGGTACCTAGTTCAGGAGGTCCCCATCTTTCTTTCATATAATGGCAAAGGCAACAAGCCCCACTCTCATCACTTGCTGGAACTTGGTCAATTGCATATAGTAAAGCATTGCAGCATGTCTGTGAGGACGAGGATGGCTTCCATACACCGTTGGGTTGCATACATGATAACACGGCAACGCTTGTCAAGTCATAACGACATGTGCCCTCTTCAGATCTTTGTGTATCTGTGGCTGAATAGGCTCCAGATGATGATAGAAGCATTGTGAGCAGCAACACCCACAACCAAGACTTTTGGACTACCAATCAAAACAAAGCAAAAACATGTAATATCAGTATGTTTGTATTTTTTTAGAACACAATGTACTTAGCAATTGGAAAGGGCATGTAACTCAATGACAAAACTGAATGGAAGAATCAAAAGTAAAATAAACTTACGACCTTTTTAGCCATGCAATTTATTGTACAGTTTGAAAAGAATGAGGACATTAACAATGTATTGAATATATCCAATGCAAAAGGTAGTCCAATAAGAAAAAGCGAAACGTACAGCATGTGACATTGGCATTAGGAGTATTTATCTCTGCATCAACAACTGAAACCTTTCTGCGCCTCATTGCCTGCATTGTAGTGATTACTACTCCAAATCATTACACTCTGATGAACAGTAGCAGAAAGATTTACTATAAGATTCCTAGGTTTTTATGATCTCAAAAATACTGGAAGTTAAAACAAATTTCATCTGAAACTGAAGTTGATGTCACAGCACAATAGCACATACACCTTTTCTTAAAACTTGGCAGCTGTTGTTCCATTCATTTAAACAAACAAAGCATGCTCAAACAAGTTTAAGCACCAAATAAGATAGGGCAAAACCTCCACACAATATGACTATGCATATTTCTCAAGATTTTCTTTGGCAAATGTGCATCACTAAAATAAAGGTAGATTAAGTAGCATTGGCAGATTAAAACTTCTTAGAATATAAAGATAGGAAAAAAAGACAATCCCAGACATACCAGTAAACAAATAGCAAGGGAGAAGATCTCATAGATGAATATTGATCCAATTTACAAGACTTAGTATAGCACAGTTAGCCATAAATTGTTATACGTGTAGCATAAAGCAGTTGTAAATAAAACTGCACAGCAAGATAATTGGTAGGATCACGTGCACATATATATAACCAAAAAGCGAAGGGGTTGGGGCGTCCGCTTGTCTTACAGCCATTTTAGAAGGGGTAGCCAGATACTCTTGGGAATCAACCGTGCAGTCCATTACCATGTATCCCTGAAAAAAAAATTCGGACAGATTAGAATAATCATTCAGTCATGAATGGGCAATACGCTATTGTGGAAACCGAAGAACAGGAAACGGATCCGAAGGGATGAGCCCCAACCATACGATCGCACAGGAGAAATTTGTTGAAATTTTACAGAGGATCCTTTCAAATTTCTATCAAAGTGTGGGGATGGGATCCACAAAAAGCAAGGTGCAGACGGGAACCAACCAAAACTGCGACGAGCAAATTGGGGGTAGCGAAGCACACAGTGACACAGCACACACCCGGACACCCCACCCCACCCCAGCGACCCACAAAATGATGCAACTAGAGCGGCAGTGCTTTCCCGCCATGGATCGCCCAGCGCAGAAGTCCCGATCGAATCGGCGGAATCAAACGACGAAACCGCGGCGAGATTGGGATTGGAGTGAGATCGGCGAGGGGATTGTTTGCATACCATCAGTTCGCCTACTTGCGGGCGGAGCGGAAGGGAAGCCCCTCGTTGCTGCGGCGCGACGATCGCCGACCCGACGTTGCTTCTCCGGGAAGCAACCGCCTTCATCGCCGCGCCTCGGCGACGCCGCGGGTTTAAAGCAAGGGGAGAAGCAGGGTTTAGAAGAGAAATCCGGCGACACTGGTCACTAGCCCAGTTGCCACTGATAAGCCAAAGTGAAAGCAGAGTGAACGTGGGCCGAGTGAGGCCGAATTGGCCCGTCAACAAAAAACAGTCGCCTGCCTATTAAACCGGACGATTGTTGAACTCAATTTTTTAAAACCCTTTCATTTTTTCTGCACGAAGTTTTTAGAATTTTGGTTTGAAAAAAGTTTCTAGAAAATTAGTTTACTAGCAATATACACGTGCGTTCCTACGGGTGAACACCTGTTTTTAATCTGACAAGCCTACAAACAATATTGTGTCTCTTGGCCTTAGGAGCATCTCCATAAGTTTCCAAAATCCAGTCTTAATCTTTTTTTTTGTAAGATTGAAAAAAATGGTTTCTAACAACTTTATATCTCAGCTCCCAATCTTTCCGCACCTGAGAAAACCGACCCAATCGTACGGAAATACAAGTGCGCATATCGATCTGCCAATATAGAGGTGTAGGACATGGTGAAAAATAAAGAGTAAGATACTTGAAAATATGTAAGAAAGAAAGAAAGTATAAAAATGGCTTCATAATTTTCAAGCTAAAACATTTTTTTTCTAAAATTCAGATTTCATTATTTTAATTGCATAACTTTTTTTAGAAAAGATATTGATCAAACAACTTTTTGTTAAAATGTATTTGTAGTCTGATTTCCCTCCTAAAGTACCAATGGATTCTGATTTACTTCCTCAATGGCTGACGTAGTGTCACGTAGGATGGTTGATGTGGTGCCATGTCGGACAGAACAGCCCCAAACTGTAAAAACAAATGATTTTTAAAGTTGAGGACGGAGGGCCAAAATCCAATTGCATATATGAGGGAGGAAAATCAAACTTTATGAATAGTTGAGGGGTTAAAAAGGATTGATTTATCCGTATAGGCAAGCAAATACTCTGTATATATGTTATGGGTACTCCCTTAGTTTTAAATTATAAATCACTTTAGTTTCACAAATGCATCGACTTATAATTGGAAGGGAGAGATCAGTCCTGATTATGAGTCCTATTTAAATATAAGCCGGCAATAAAATCCCCAGTCCCGACATGTACAAATGCATGACGATGCTGTGAGTAACAATAAAACTAGGTTAGGTGGTGATACCGTTTCGCATGAAAGTGTGAGCATTGTCCAAATTAATTAAATTGCAGTTCATCGCCCTTACTACTAATTGAAGGGCACACTACAATTCTTGTACACACTACATGCTCTTAGAGTGTAGCTTCTTGAAGCCCAAACATATGCAGCCTGCCGTGCACACTGCACACACTACCTTACAAGCAAATACTACTGACTGATTTTCCCGAAATGGAATTTATACCGGTGCTTGTCATGGTGTTGCTTGCTCTAAGCTATATGGTCGGACCGTGCAACTGCACTGGAGTATGCTCGCCAGCGACGTACGGTAATCTCTCTTCATTCATCTGCACTAGATTATATATGCCAACCTTGTCTTCATGATCCTTCATGTTTCTGTTTTCTTTTCATTTCTTTTTTTATTTCTGTGATTGTTCATTTTGTCCATGGATGTAGTACATTGCAAATAGAGTTTACTCCTATATTTTCTTCATGTTTTAAATTTTGATTTTGATCCTACACCCCCAATGGATGCATGCTCAGAGTCTCGGCAGAGGAAAGATGGCGCCTTCCACTTCCCTGTGTTCCACAGGAAGCACCCGTGTGTTGACGAAGACCCATCGACGATCCACGCAGCAAGCGTATCAGACGCAGGCACCGTGATTGGGAACGACAAGATCCATCAAGGCAAGTACTTCATGGCCATCAGGCTGGGCACCCCTGCCGTCTTCAACCTCGTCACCATCGACACCGGCTCCACCCTCTCCTGGGTCAACTGCAAGAGGTGTCGGATACGGTGCCACGAGCAGGCGGCCCGAAGCTGGCCCCAAGCTGGACCCTCACCGCTCCGCCACGTACCGTCACGTCGGCTGCTCCGACGAGGACTGCCTCGACATCCAGGCCGACAACGGCGTCCCCTACGGCTGCGTCGACGAGACGGACACCTGCCTCTACGGCCTGCGCTACGGGTCGCAGTACTCGGCGGGGAAGCTCGGGAGGGACAGGCTCGCCCTGGGCGACAACTACACCATCGTCGACGACTTCGTCTTCGGGTGCAGCGAGGACGACATGTTCTACGGCCTCGAGGCGGGCGTCATCGGCCTCGGCGACAAGCGTTACTCCTTCTTCAACCAGATGGCACGGCTGACGACCTACAACGCCTTCGCCTACTGCTTTCCCGGCGACCACCGCGCCGAGGGGTTCTCATCGTCGGGCCGTACCCGCAGAAGCTGGAGCTCGTCACGACATTGATCAGGGGGTACGGGCGTAGGCAGCACGTCTACTCGGTTCTGCTGCTGGGCATCGCCGTCGACGGGAAGCCTCTGGAGGTCGACGGGCGCCAGATCCTGGTGGTCGACTCTGGGACCGATGACACCTTCGTCTCGTCCTCAGTTTTTTATGCTCTCGCCGAGGCGATAGCGTCGGCGATGCAAGATAAGGCGTATTACCGTGAGTACGGTCGGAAGGTCTGCTTCAGGCCTGCCGGCGGCGAGCCGGTGAACTGGAGGAGCTTGCCGACGGTGCAGATGCAGCTCCTAAGGGCTACGCTGGAACTGCCGCCGGAGAATGTGTTCCATCAGCAGTCAACTGATCGCATATGTTTGGCGTTCCAGTCGAATGACGCTGCTGGCGTGCCGGATGTTCAGATTCTAGGGAACAAAGCCCTGAGACCTTTCAGGGTTGTCTATGATCTGCAGAAGATGACCTTTGGCTTCCAAGCCCGGGCGTGTTGAAAGGAGTTGCCTCGGCCATGTACTATTTAAAAGAGATACTTCATATACCGTTCTTAGGCCCTCCACGGTGTTAGTGTTAGCCTAAAATGAAGCTGAGGTCTTGTTTGACACAGCTCAGCTTTACTAGTAAATAAAGTTTAAAATAGCCGGCGATAGCCGCTGGACAAAGTCACAGCTAAGATACGTCACTTTTAGCGCTAAGAAAAGTAAAACGCTAATAGCCCGAGATAGCTGGAGATTGCGGCTAATTGGGACAAACTTAGCTACCGCTAAACTATGTCAGGCCAGGAAATTGACCAAGCGGCCCACTAAAACGTGTGCCACTGCCGGCCCATTGCTTTGCCCTTCCATCCAGCCCAGGAAAATAACGTAACCCTGGCATCTTCTCATATCTCTGACTCATCTCGTTAGCCCATTGCTTTGCCTATCCATGCACTACAGCTATACGAGATTTGTCATTCGATATATTGCTTCTTCTCTGTTTTTCCTTTTGTTTAAGAAAAACAGCTAAACGGCTTAGCTGATGCTATCTCCGGCTATAGCTGGGCTTAGCTGCATTGGAGGTCAACAGTTAAGGGGCTTAGCTGGAGATTTAAAACTTTTGCTAGTAAAGCTATTTTTTTTTAGAAACAGCTTCATGAACAACTTTTTAGGTGGAGCTGAGTTATTTTAAAAAAATTATTTGGCAAAACAGCTTCACCAACAACTTCATTATGGATGGCAGAGAGAAATGAGGGAGAGAGCTGGAATAAGCTATTTTTTCAGCTTCATCCCACTTCATTTCCTTACGAGAGAGAAAGAAAAACAGTTTCACCTATGAAGCTATTTTAGCAATGGGTGTTTGGCAAGAAAACAGCTCACAACAGCTGTGAGCTGTAATGACAGGCCCTTAATTTTTTTTTATTAAGTGAAGCTTAAAATGAAAAGATAAAAAGATTTGGGAATCACTCCACGCGCTGCAATAGGTGTCCACACACTGCAATAGGTGGCACCGACGCCAGAAATTTGAGGAGCAAGGCAAGTACTTGCCTCAGTGCCAACTCTATATAAAAATACTACTCAAAATACTACTCATATGCCATCCAGTCATGCTGTGAGTGTCTAAGCATGAAGATAAGAACAAACTGCATCGGAGTTATTGGGTCCCACTAGTAGTGCTATCACGCATTCATGCCGTAGTCTTGGAAGAGTGATGTCCTTTTTTTAAGCAAACAAATTAGGTGAGGATTATCCGCATGAGCACTGTAGGGACCATACGCATGACATGTGGATCTCAACTAAATATGGGAGGAGAGAGAATTACAGTAAACTCATGCAGTAGCAGCACAATACGCACAAGATCCGTGTAGAATGGTCCATACCCCATTTTTTTCCTTTTTTAACAGTGTAGGACCTATTATTTTTAAGGACTATTTCATTCACACGCAGCTCCTAAATTTGTCTAGAGTTCTCCTATAACTCCTAATACCTAGGATTTCCATTTCTGACACCCTAAACTTATATTATTGTACCAACACTACGGGAGGCCGCGGCTTTGCCGAGTGTTTTTACACTCGGCAAAGAGCCCTTTGCATTTGGCAAAGGCTTTGCCGAGTGTAGCACTCGGCAAATTCCGCTCGGCAAAATTTTTCTCGGCAAAGAGTCTTTGTCGAGTGCTTTTTATCGGGGCACTCGACAAAATATAAAAAAAATTTACCGAGTGCTTGGGTCGGCACTCGGCAAATTTTTTTTTTAAATTACTTTGCTGAGTGCCCCAGCCCAGGCACTCGGCAAAGTTTTTTTTAAAAAATACTTTGCCGAGTGCCCCTACCCAGGCACTCGGCAAAGTTTTTTTTTTTTTTTTTAAAAAAATTACTTTGCCGAGTGCCCTTGCCACTCGACAAAGTTTTTTTTTTTTTTTAATTTCTTTGCCGAGTGCCCCTGTTTAGGCACTCGGCAAAGAATTTCTGAATTTTTTAAAAAAAAATACTTTGCCGAGTGCCGCGGCGAGCCACTCGGCAAAGAAATTTTATATTTTTTTGAAAAATCTTTGTCGAGTGCCTTGCCCATGGCACTAGGCAAAGACCCCGAGAATTGCAATTTTTTTTACATTCCATTGTAACAGACAATATATATATACATCAATCATCACATCTATATCAACAACATGCATTATATATCACAAGCACACGCATATTTAATAAATTCATCGAAAATCCATCACAAAAGCACCAAAGTTCAACATCACAAGTTTATTATTACAAGTTCAACATCACTGTGTCACGCCGAGCCACTTTGTGAAGTTCTCAAACTCGGTGTAGTCACTGTCTGAGATCATGGTCTTGTACCATGCCTTGCCCGCAGCCTTGACCTTGGCAGCCTCCTCCTACAACAAACCAACATGTAATGTTAGGTACATGGTTATCAACAAAAACAAATGATGTTTCTGATATATACAGAGTGAATCAACAGCGATAGGATCAGTCATGTCTTTTCAAGTGCTGACTGAAACAAATAATCTGAATTCTGAACAAGACTGACCATACACAAATATAGGACTATGCAGTCAAACAAATTTGGCCAGATGGCACTAGGATGTGGGGTATTTCAGGAAATTTGGGGAATAATTTAAACCATCATATAGCATTCATTGTAATAACCAACATTCCAAATGATTAAAATATTAATCTCAATCACATAGTAGTGATGTCCAAATGTCACTAGTTCAAAGCAAAAACTCAGCATCTATTCTTTGACTACATGTACCACAAAATTTTCTAGCAAGCAGTATACCTAGTTTTAGGTTTGAGACCACCTATTAAAGTTACTGGCCTTTGCATTGGATGGTACAAACACGGGGGTAGGGGAGAATGAACAAGCCTCTTTTGTTAACAGGAGGGGTGCTGTGCCATTTACAGTACGCCTTACAAGAATTTTTGGCAGATGCCAATCAAAATCTTATTTGCAGGTGTGTCAATTGTAACAGTTTGAAGAAAACAAAGAGGCATCGTCCATGCAAGTGTGTCAAACGTTATTAGGAGCAGTGGCTTTGCAATTCTTTGCTTCCTTAAAGATGATCTTTTAATGTCCGGATTGAGTTGTATGTTGAAACTGGTTTCATTATGTCAAATGTTTGTAATAATTGGTCTGATTCCCTTCATTTGCAAGGGATAAAACTGGACGTTATCCATTATCTAAAGAAACTATTTCTTAGTTAGTATACAGGAGTGAAATGATTGTCTGGCTAACATCTCGAGTGACTCATTTTCACCTGTAGTCTAGTCCCACGCTATTGATTACTATATGACAATGGCGATATATTAAAGTAATTCTATTGGTGATTCACAGCTAGTGATTTGAAACATAATTAAGCTTACAACAATGGATAACTACTTGAAAGAGCCCATCCTTATTGTTCGGCCCAATGTTAGATTCGTAATATATATGTTTGTTGTTTCTATATCAGAGACATTGATGTCTCCTGCCCCATGATCCAGTTATCCCTCAAGAAAATTGAGTGGCCATCTTTTTCAAAATTTTGGTGGCCGAATTACTTTGTAGGTTAATGTTCATGGAGGACAAGTGAAATATCCTAGACAAGATGGAGGTGCACACACATTTTACATTCAATTGTAAATTTACTGGCAGATCACCTATATCTAACATGAATTGAGATCGAGGTATGAAAGGATTGTCCCATTTCATTTTAATGTCCCTCTATTGACAATGAAACTATTAGGTCAGATACCAGGCACATTGAAGTATATTCTGTGTCAGTAAGCTGTAAGATTTACATTGATGCATGTATTCTCTATGCCAAAATATATATAACGTTTCCATCTGCCCTGGCTAGCAATGGTTGATTTAGCATTGTGGAGACATTATTCTACAATATTAGTCAATCTGTTTCCTAGTATATATAATAAGCAGTTAAATATTTAAGTCAATTACCATTTCCATCCTTGTCTTTCTTTTACTACCAACAATTAGCAAGGGTAACTGTACTTTCAGGTAATATTAAATACAATTTAAAAGGGCAACGAACTGACTGCAACACCCATATCCGTTGAACACAAATACAATGGGTTGAATGAGATTTCTTTGGTTGAGAAATAGATAGTAATCAGTACTAAACCAATTAAATGAGATTGCATTACATGTTTTGAAAACTCAGAGTAGCCATGGAGTTTTCATCAGTGCAACGTTTTCATCAGTTAAACACAACGTCTTCATTTATCAGTTCAACACAACTACAACAGGCTGATACTGAGTACTGAAGGTGACATGAAATTTGACGAAATATTTCATGAACTGGAACGAAGAGATTACTTTTCATTTTCTTTTATTTTGTTTAGCAGATAATGAAGTTCGTCTGTAAGAAGGCAAACCGTTCTGATTTAGAGATTTTAGGATTTTAATGAGCCACACTGTTGAGTATGTTCCAGCTCGTCTCCGTGTTTGATGTTTTACAATTTCATTTAAGGTTAGGTAGGTTCAATATAATATGTATTGTCTGTCAAATGAAAGGCTACTATAGTAGTTACTTTAAAAGAACTGAACTTATACTCTATGTACAATTGTACATTTGCATCTATGGCTGAGGTAACTAATGTTAACTAGTTCTTATGCCTCAGAATACACCTACTGGAATCAGGTATGATCAAATACTAAGTTTGTCCCATGCCCGCCAGATCGGAACTAGCTAGTATGCAAAAACTCATAAGCAAATTAACAGCTTAGTTTTAATGGTTAAACAAGTACGTACCACACCGTTACTCGGGAGTCTATCAAGTCGAGTTGGTCCGTCCAAGTCTTCGGCAGGCTGCGGCAAACTACCCCGCCGCCATCTCTGTTGCTCCACCATCAACCCCATTCTGAGGATAAATGAAGTGCCAGAGTAACGGTGTGCCCCAAGACGGGCGGTAGGGCGATGCCGGGGTGTCGGTCACCATGTCGCCTCCGTGGCCTTCACGGAGACGAGGGGGCGGAAAAGGCGACCATGGCGGCACGACGGCGGCTAG